CCCATGCCGAGGTCCATGGAGCCAGGGCCTGGCGGCGCCTGGGAGGTAGATTTGGCCGTCTCTAAGCTGGGGAGGCGAGTGAGAAGGATAGGGTGGTAAGGACCACAGTGACAGAGCAAGTCACCCACCCCAACCCGCCTGTCTTAGGGACTGTGTGCCCCATCTCTTCTGGCACAGGCCTCCATGGCACACCACCAGGGAAGGCTAAAAAGCTGGGGCTCAAACCCTGTGGGTTCTTGGGTCCTGCACCCACCATCTCAGGACCTCAAAGCACCACCCAGCTTATCCTTCTTGAGGATGCTGGGGTGAGGGTATCCTCCAAAAGCTGCACTGGGGTGCTGGAGAGGTGCCATCCCTTGCTAGCAGACAGCTCATGTCCCCCCAAGCTGGCACCTACCAGGCTGTGATGAGGTACTGAGCCAGGGTGATGCTGACGGGGGACCCAGTGATGGTCACGTGCCGCTCGCTGGAGCCCTCAGTCTGGTTCCCAATCTTGATGTGGGCGCCTGACATTTGCCGGATCTCACTGATCTTGCTGCCATGCCGGCCGATGATGCAGCCGATGAGCTGGAGGGGCAGGGACTGGCGTGGGCTGGGAGCAGCTGGAGGAGCCATGCCAAGCAGGGAACTCCCAGGGGCTCACCCGGCCACCCTCTGCACCTTGGAGGACTGGGGAAACTGAGGCAGATACCACCAGGGCAGGATGCTGCTTTCCTTGGGCAGACCTTGCTTTTTGGTCTCACTCAAGCCCCTCCTGGGTGGCATCACTGGGCTCCCACATCCCAAGGCTCTTCCTTGGCATTGGCCAAGCCCTTTTTTCCTCCTCTCGTGCCTCAGTTTCCCTTTTCTTCCAGCTGTTTATGCCCCAGCAACCCCTCCTGCTCCTGAGCTCTGGCAGCTGAGGCAGAGCCTCCCCTGTGTGGGGTGGTGGGTGGTGACCCCTGCAAAGCAGCTGTGGGGTGGGACACATAGGTGGGGGCAAGCTGTGCTCTCCCTTGCCATCCCTAGGACCCACACGTACATCGTTGGGCACCAGGAACTCCTGGGAGCTGCTCTGGGAGCTGGAGTCCAGGCCTAGAGGGAGAGACAAGCTTGTTAGTGGTAGTGGGGGGTGGGTCTCCAGCAGCTCCGTGCCCCCACCCCAGCCCCATGCTGGGACAGTCAGTGGCCCTGGGGACAAACCTGAAAGATCCATTGAGGACGAACATAGGCACCAGTCGCAATTTGGTGCTGGTGTTCCCCCGCTGCAGGGTTGGGTGAGTGCAGGGGCCCCAGGAAAGCAGGGACAGGGTTGTTCTGGAAGGCAGGTAGCCATGCCAGGGGGGCTGAGACTGAAGGGGGTGTAGGGGATGGGGATTCCCTCATCAGGGCCAGGTGGCTGGGTGGTTCAGGAGGGTCACCCCACACCTCCAGCCCTGAAGGGGGGGATAGTGGAGGGCACAGAAGATGCTCACCTGGCACCATGGAGGGTGCATGACCCAGGGAGGCGAAAGGGAGCGTGTGCCCTGACAGCTGCTGCAGCTTCGCCACCTGCCCAGGCAGCAGGAGGAGGAGGAAGGAGGCATTAGGGGTGATGGCAGAAAGTCCCCTGTCCCCTCCC